ATCAGACATACTTCAGAAGCTTAAGAGAAGGAAATGTATTTACTTTTAACTTTTACTCTTTCTACTGTTCTTTCTTTCTTCCTGATATTCTAGGATTCTTTCCTTTTGCATTTCTTTTCTGTTTAGAGAACTTCTTTTAGCCATTCTCTTAAGTCTGCTGATGACAAATTCATTTAGGTTTTCTTCAGCTGATAATGTCTTGATTTTCCCTTCATTTTTGAAGGGTATTTTCCCTGGACATAGAATTCTGGGTTGTCAGTTTTTTCATTTCATCACTTGCAAAATGCACCATTTTCTTCTGGCTTCCATGGTTTCTGAAGGGAAATCTGCTATCATTCAAGTTGTTTTTGTTCTACATTTAAGTTGTTTTGTTCTACATTGTTTCTCTGACTGCTTTCAAGATTTTTTTGTTTAGTTTAAAAAAAAGCTCTGAATTTTATTATTATACTCAGCAGGCATAAAATTACATTTAAATAAATATAAGAACAAATACTATATTCAGTTTTGAGAAATTTGAGTTGGTATGGATTTCTTTGGCTTATCTTGTCTGTGATTCACTCACATCTTTAATCTGTAGGTTTATATACTCTGTCAAATTTGGGAAGTTTTCAGCCATTACTTCTACAAGTATTTTTTCAGCTTTGCCCTCTTTCTCCTCTTATACTTGGATTTGGATGACAGAAATGTTAGATTTTTTGTTATGGGCCCACAAGTCCCTGAGCCTCTGCTAGTTTTCTTTCTTCTTTCTTTTTTCTTCTTTCTTCTTCTTCTCCCCCCCGCCCAGTCTATTTTCTCTTTATTATTCAGATTGGGCAAATTTATAGCTGTATATTCCAGCTCACAGATTTCATTTTTCTCTAGCCCCTGCATCCTTCTATGGAGCCCGTCTACTGAGTTAACTTTTGTTACTGTATTTTTAAGTTCTCAAGTTTCCATTTGGTTCTTTTTACTTTCTATTTCCTTACTCAGACTTTCAATTTTTTCATGTTTCAGGCATGTTTGTAATTGCTTTTTGAAGCATTTTCAGATGGCTCCTTTAGCATCTGGCATATGAGTGGTTTTTGATTGAAAACTGGACATTTTGTAAATTATGTTATGAGACTCTGATCTTACTTAAACTTCCTGTTTAAGTAAGAACTGGCTGTTCTGGTGGAGGAAGGGAGGAGCACTGCCTTGGTACTGCCAGGGTGGGGGAGTGTGGGGCTGAGGGGGTAGGAGGCCACATTCACCACCTGACCTCTGTTCCCTGACAATGAACAGGGAAAGGGCTCCTAGTTACTGCTGGGCAGGGGTGGGAGCTCTAGATCCCACTAGGCATCCACTTATACATACCAACCTGGCTGGGAGGGGCAGAAGTGCCTTGTTACCGCTGACACCACAGGAAGGTGGTTTCATTACCTCTGGGCAGTGGTGAAAGTCCTGACTCTCTCCTAGGCCTCCTTTGACACCACCTTAGCAGCGGGGGGTCAGGGGGGAGGAAGGGGCACCTTATTACTGCTGTCTGTGGGTAGAGTTCAGATTCTCCATGTGGTCCCCACTGACACTGTGGTAGCAGGGGCCTTTTTACTGTCATGTTGGGATAAAAGTCCCAGCTCTCTATGGCCTGCTCTGAGAGCACCCCAGCGTGTGTGTGTGTGTGTGTGTGTGTGTGTGTGTGTGTGTGTGTGTGGTGTGCAGTTGGAGTCCTTTGATAAAGCCTGGCAAAGCAGGAAGTCTAGGTTCCTGCTGCCTGCTTTACTGCTGTGGGTGGGAGTGGGGCCACCGTTTCTCCTGTGTTTTTGTTTTGTTGGGGGGGGCGGGTAGGGAGAGGGAGAGAGAAAATCTTAAGCAGGCTCCATGCCCAGCGTGGAGCCCGATGCAGGGCTTGATCTCACAACCCTGAGATCATGACCCGATCTGAAATCAAGAGTCGGACACTTTATCAACTGAGCCACCCAGGTGCTCCTCTCCTGTGGTTTTTTGCTGGAGTGATTACTGTCTTGAAGTTTTTAGTCTTGTTTGGCTGCCCCTTTCCTGGACTTTGAGAGAACAGGCTTTTGTTGGGGATTTTTTTATTTGTTTGCTCCTGTTGGCATTTCTAGGTTGCTGGCTTCTTCAGCTATAATCCTGGTATATATGAAGCTAAGAGAAAACACAGACAACTCATCACCAGGCTGTGCTGGTGAAGAAGAAGAAGAAGAAAAAAGAAAGAACTCATCACCTGGCTCCCACAGGCCCTAGTCTGTCCCTTCTCTCTCTCTACCTTTCAGTCTTCTCATGTCTTATATATGATGTCCAGGCTTTTTAGCCGTACTTAGTGGGAGTGATAGGAAAAAGCACATCTAACTCCATCTTCCTCGAAGTGGAAACCAAGATATAATTTTAAAATATTAGTTGGCTTCATGTTTTTGGAATTGTACAGAGACCTACTTCCTACAGTATGCTAACCTCCCCACCAGAACAGTCTGGCACATGGTAGGAACTTAATAATATTCAGTGACTGAATCCCCACTTTACTGATGAGAAAACTTAGGGAATTAAGTCATCTCCCTTTGGTCTCATAGCTAGTAATAGGAAGGACCGGGATTTGAACCAGGACATTCTGATATCAAAGCCCACGCTCTCAGAAGCATCACTGGGGCACTTGTGAAATTCAAGGCCCCTTTTGTTCTCTTAGGACAAAGGACAAGTGAGATGGAGCCTCCACTTGAGACAGTAACAAAGTGACAACCGGACTCTTCTCTACTGAATTAACAATGTCCTTGCATTTGCAAGAAAATGTCCAATGCTGTCATCTCTCTTTCCTTCCATTCACTGCCAAGCGTCCTGTCTAGCGTCCCAATTACTCCTTAAGTCCGTGAAAATGGGGTCCCACTGCAGTTTCTCTCCCGCAGTTGCCCTTCTTTTCAGCCCCAAGACCAAAGGCAACAACGTCTTCCCAATTCTCACCCTTCTAAATCTTTCTGTGGTGCTTCCTAATGCTGCTCACCACTTCCCAAGCTGCACCCCTAGTCCTGGCTTTCACGGTCCTCCACCTTCTGGGGTTGCCCTTACCTCATCCTGCCGCGTGCCCCTCTTTCGGTCCCATCCTTTGAATGGTCGTCTCGTCCTCGAATCGCTTCCCTAAGCCCATGGCCTCAACAAGGCTGGCAATACACTCATTCGCTCATCTCATTCACTCGTTCAGCATTCATTTATTGGACACCTGCTATGTACCAGGCACTGTACTATAGCAGGAAACAAGGTAAACAAGGTGGCTATTCTCATGGAACTTATATTCTAGGCAGATACAGAGAGTAAGAAACAGCAACAAGTCAGTTAGTTATGGAGTCGTATGACATTTCAACAATATTAATCAAACTTGTAAACTTTGGTGTGCATAATCTCAATGACCTATTAGATTCTAAAATTACTGAAGGTAAGAACTGTGTTATTTCCATAAGACTAATGCTACCACCTTATATTTATTTGGTGGTAGCATTTATTTATTATGGTTTGCTTGAAAGATGGGCTTTCACACAGATGGTGATTTTAAAAATCCTTTGAATTATTAAATATTAATTTTTTTCTAAGACCTTTATTTACAAATACCTCAAAGCAGTTTAATGTGTTCTTGATGTGACACAATGACTTTGTTTTTTTTTTAAGATTTTATTTATTTATTTGACAGAGAGAGAGAGAGAGAGTGAGAGAGGGAACACAAGCAGGGGGAGTGGCAGAGGGAGAAGCAGGCTTCCTGCAGAGCGGGGAGGCCGATGCGGGGCTCGATCCCAGGACCCTGGGACCATGACCTGAGCCGAAGGCGGACGCTTAATGACTGAGCCACCCAGGCACCCCTTTGACACAATGACTTTGAAACCTGTCCAGCCACACACCAGCCACATGATCTGAGGCAGACTTAACCTCTCTGAACAAGAACATTATTCTTGTATTCTTGTCACCAGGAATGCCTTCACTCGTGAACCTCATCCCCACACAAGGACTCAACTCACGGCAGGTGTCTTGAGGGTCCTCTGTCTCCTAAGGAGAAAGGGCGTCTTTTTCCTCTTCCTCTTCTTCTTCTTCTTCTTCTTTTTTTTTTTTTTAAAGAAACACTGCATTTAGAGCAAGAAGAATGTGGCTCTGGGACCAGGCAGCTTGGATTTATGTGCTAGCTCCTTCACTTCCTAGCGTTTGACCCTTAGCAAGTTATTTAACCTCCTGGTGCCTCTATTTTTTCATCCATAAAATGGGGGTCATGATAATGTCTACTCCCTAGAACTGTCATGAAGATTAAATGACTAAATACCTATATAGTACCTGGCACTTAGTAAGTACTGCATGTGTGTTTGCTCCTTTAATCTATCCATATACATACCTATTTCCCGTTCAGAGAAAACTGGGTCACTCTATTTTATTTGTTGGAATCTTACTGACATTAAGGTTTGAATCTCGGACTTTAACATCTTGGATGCTTTAATGACTTCAGGTTATCAAACAAATAACTTTAAGAGAGGAAATACATTTTTATCTCTTTCAGCGTCAGAGAATGAGCTTCTAAAAATAAGCGTTGAGTTTCTCCCTACTTTAGATTATGGAAAAAAGAGGATAAATGTATATATATATACATATACACACATATATATACACATATACACAAAGCACATAAAAATCCATTAATTCAGAAGCTATATTTAAAATAAATGGGCCAGATGGCAGGTAATTAATATACACTAAAACTGTTAATGTCACACATAAAGATTAAAATGTATAAACAACCAGAAGCCAGGCAGAGAATTTTTGGTGTCATAATTTGCTTCTATAGCACTTTGCCGTATAATTCACCCGCGATGAAAAAACAGAAAAAGCCTCTCGCACACGTCTCCTTTTCTCAGCTTTGTGATTTGGAAGGACATCACCCATGATTTTTCCCCCCTCTAATCACTTTCCCCATATTATTTCTCTAAGTCAGAGGAAGAAAATAATTTTAGAAAAGCAACAAGCAGTAAAAAAAAAAAAATTTTTTTTCTATTACAGGGAAACAAGATTGGTGATAATCCAGATCACTTAGCAGCGGAATTTCCACGTCCAGGAAAACCAACTCATTTTGCTTCTGTTGGTACTGTAGGGTTCTGTGAAAGCCTAAGGCAGAATTCAGTAGCACAGCGTCCCCTTATGCAGTCAGCTTCACCGCCTCGCGTGCCCCCGCGAGCTGTCCTCGGCTCGGGGCCTGCAGATGGGTTGCAGAGGTTGGCCATTCCCCAGGGCAGACCCAGCGGCCTCTGCAGCTTCTCCGTGAGGGTCCCGCATCCTGTTCAGAGGGAACAGGAAAATGGCTCATGGGCTGGAAAATAGCCAGCCTGGCTCCATTTGGCTCGAAGTAGTTCCTGGCAGAATTCCTGCAGACATGAGTTTGGGTGGCAGTAGAGACGCGTCCCTCCTACTTTCGGAGCTGGTGGCTGGCGTGGCCACTGGGAATGTCGTGGGCCGTGATCGGAAGCCATTCCTGGCCCGGAGCTCAGCTCCAGCAATGCCCCAGGGCACCTTGGAACCAGCTGTGCCTCCAGGGCCAGCCCTATGCCTGAGCCTTGTTGGAGGCGGAGACCCCTTTATGGGGCTTTTGGTGAGAAATGAGCTACACTGGCAGAGAATTCAGGGCCAGGCACAGGGGTTTCTTGCTCCTCACATCCACTTCTTTCAAGTCTTCTTTCATTCTGCACACACTGGTTTCCTGATAGTTTCCTTTCCTGGCCTATCTGCTGTCTTCCCCCTCCTGGCCGTTTACTAAGACCCATGGGCCTTCACATTGGGCTGCCCCACTGTGCAGCCCCACCTGGACCCCTGCTAGAGCCTGCTCAACCCCCATCAGAACCAAACTGTCCTTTGTCCCATTCCCTACACATCTTCATCTTCATTTTTGAAGCCACCGTATCCTTTATACTCATCTACATTTTATAGTACATTTTGAGTGGCACCGGGTATCTGTTAGTACTGAGTTAACCTTGTGCCAGAGGCCTCAGGTGCCGAGGCAAAGCTGTGGCTGACACTTAGATTTGGGGGTGTCTGGGTAGTTGGAGAAGGGGAGCTGAACTGACGTTGCTTCTCAGCTCACAGGTTTCTTATTAGGACTCAGAAGCCCTGCCCAGCAGCCCTGCCCGGCATTTCCTTCTCAAGAGAGACCTTTGTGATGAGCCCAGCCTCTTTCCAGAACTTTCCAAGGCAAAGAAGGACTTAACTACTCCTGGCTCTGCAGCAAGGCAGAGCAAGGCAGCCAAATGGGCATTACTGGGACACAGGTGACCAGGGTGGCTTGATCTACCAACCTGAGACCAGGTGTGTGCACAGGGGTGCAACCCGCTACTTACTCAGGCCTGTGTGCAGGACGGGAGTGTCCTTCACTGAAGGCCCAGGCCAGGGGTGACTCCAAATAGTGATGCACAGCAGTGAGGACAATGGGTAGGGGTACTCTGAAGAAGAGTGAGGCCCCAAAGTGGGGGAGAGAGAGAGAGAATCCACAGAGTAAAAGCGACTTAAAAGCTTATCAACCAGTCCCAACCTGTGGTCTAATTTGAATTCTGATTCAAATAAGCTAGTTTTTTTTTTTTAAATGGAAATGTGAACCTGACTTGATATGAATAATATATCATTCAATTTTAAGGCATAATAATGGTATTGTGGTTTTTTTAAAAGAGTCCTTATCTTTTGAAATTCATACTGAAATATTTATAATGAAAGACATGATGTCTGGAATTTGCTTCAAAATCCCAATGCAGGGAGAAGTGGGTGCAGGCGGGGGAAAACAAGATGGACCATGATGTGATCGTTCCCGAGGCTGCATGATGGGAACATGCGTGTTCATTATGTTCTTTCTACCTTGGCTTATTTTTTAAGTTCTCTATAATAAGAAGTTAAAAAAAAGAAAAGGGGAAAGAAAAGGGTATATTCCAGCTGACTGGTCTCAACACTACCAGGGCTACATACAAGTATATGAAGACAACCGGACAGGACTTGGGGTTGCTGAGCCTGTGGCTCTTCGCGTGCCCTCTGACCCCCGACCAGGGTGATCTTTGACCCAGGACTGGAGTTTCTAACCCTCTGCACTTCCCTTCCTGAACATTCACGAAAAGTGGTCCTGGGTTTCCAACGACCTGAAAGGCAGGTTTCTAGCTCCTCCAGTCCCAGTATGTCTGAAACCATAGCTCTTGCTCTCGCTCTGAATCCCCCATTTCTATTGATGGTTGAGTACTTCTTCTGCCGCTGTCACAGACTAGAGCCACCCTGCCGAGCCCTCTTCAACCGCCGGCTCTTCTCTCCCTACATCCACGTACTCGGCAGGTTCTATGGGTTCTTCTTTCACAGTGGTTATCAGACTCACCTCTACCTTTCCACCCTTACAGCCATCCTCCAATCCCAGGTGTGGCCTCTGTCTTGTGTGCCGTTCCCCGCCCTTACTGCCATCCTTCCAGCTGTCCCCCCCTGCCCCCGACCATTAGAGAGTGCCATGAGATCAAGAGCCTCATATTTAGTCTGAAGCCAAAAGAGGGGGAGTCATGATGTAGGCATCGCAAACCCCGAATTCCTACCCTGACAATCTCGAACTTGGAATGATGTTTATCAGGCAGCCAACAAAAAGGGCACCACACCTCCAACAGAGTCTAACATGGAAAACATTACTTCTCAATACATCCTTCACCAATTGTTGATAGGTCCACAACACCCCACATCTGGATGATCAACAAGTAGAATCCAAGGTCACAAGGATCCCATTCAAGTGGGTCAACAGATAAATGAAAACTCAAATGACAGAAGGAAGATCCAGAGATATCTGCTAATTTCTCTAGTATGCCCTACAGGAGAGCAATAATACATCAGGTCTTCTAAACCAAGGACAGTAGATTTGACAAACCACTTTCAGATCTGTTCATTCCCGCAAGGATAGATAAATGAACTAATCAGTATTTCCCTATAACTTTTTAGTTAGTTCTGGTAAGGAAGCCTCCTCTTTCCTCTTTGGAGGAAATTAAGGATGTAGCCGTTCAGGGTGTGAGTCTTATGTAACCAGCCAGTCAGCCAGAAAGAATGAAGGACTAGAGTTCCTAGTTCTAGGCATGACCGAGGCCAGCTGCACCCCTATTCCTCTAGTTACTCGGGCCTAGAAACCTTTTTGCTTAACCAGCTCTAGGGGTTTTCATTACTTACCACAAGAGAATCTTCGACAAACACAGATCAGTGGTAGTGTGAGCAGGGCAAGGGAACCCCATGAAATCAAAACAATAAAAGAAGAGAACCACTTGCTGGGTTTCCCAGAAGGCCAGTGGAATGACCCCAACTCTTTAAAAGCTTTAAACAAGCATAGTGACTTATCTCTCCTAGAAAATGACCTGGTTATGTCATAAAAGGAGTTGATTTTAAAATGAGGACTCAGTGATCCTGTTACCTAATGTTACATCATGAGAAAAATCAAACTTTGACAGGAAAGAGGTAGGTCCTGCCCACTCTTCACAACTTTCTCAAATTCTTAATAAAAACTGCTTATCCTAGGCAGAAGTTCTCCAATGCTAGATTTTCCACTAACACCCAAATGCTAGTTCCCTCAAGTTCTTCCTCTGCTCATGACCTCTAGGGCAGCTGTGTCACTTGTAGGGTAATTTCCAAATGCCTCAGCTGGGCAGTCAGGACTTCCAGAATCGGGCTTGACCTTCAACTTCGTTTCCCACAACTCAACAAAATTAACATCTTACACCGATGGTGCTGTTATCTGCATGCCCTCGCACTGGTTACGCTCACTCCCTTTCCACAGTCCGTGGTGCTTTGTTGCCTTAGCAAATTAACACAGGAGGGCTTACAATCTAGGGAGAGACAAGTGAGCAAAGCAGCAAGTACAATAGAGACTTGCAAGCACTATGGCAGGAGGGAGCATCTACCCCAACTGTTGGAGATGAGGCAGAGCGTTCGGGAAGTTCCCCAGGGGGAGTTACTCTGGGTTGTGAAGCTCCTGAGAGGAGCCTGCCCCCACAAGGAGCCCAGGGCCAGTGTCCTTGCTGCGTATTTCACCTTCCTACTTCCGCCCCAGGCGGCCAGGCCGTGGGTCCGTAAGGCAGTGTCAGGTGCATACCTGACCCGGGGAGATGGGCTTTGGGAGCGGTCAGCTGACCAAGCCCATCTCCTGTCGCAGGGGGGAGCCAGCAGCGGGGACGGAGCCCAGAGCTACTGAAAGAATGAGAGCACAATGGCCACTCATAAAACAAACTTCGGGAGGCGCAGAAGAAGTTCAAGTAAGCAGTCGGCAGGCAGAAGGAGCCCGTGGAGGGAATCAGAAAGGGAGGCGGGACCCACAGGGGCAGTGGGGCTTCTGCTGGGACCTGGTCCCCTGAGGCTGGTTCTGCTGCGGCTGCGGAGCCTGTTTTTCGTCTTCATTTCAGAGAGGACATCAGGGGTGGCTAATGACCTCTGAGACACACGTCCCTTTTCAAGTCCTTCCGGATTGAGCACCTTGGAGGAACTAGCACGATGTGTTTGGAAAGAAGATGCAGTGGCCAGGCCGTCTGACTCCCCGTCCCCTACCTGCCCCTTCCTGTGCCTTCCCTCAGCCCGGCAGGCCTTCCTCTGGGTCTCTCCGGAGCATCACCTCTCCCTGGGCCATCTTCCCAGACCTGGGGCAGCACATAGCTTCCCTTGTACCTTTGTGTGTCTCAACTGGGATTATTTTGCTTTTGTTTATTGGATAATTTGATTAATTATTAGTAATTAGTTAATTGTTGTAGATCATAAGCTGTGAGGTGGGGTGGGGGGAGACAAAGTCCACTTTTGCACTTTGTATTCCCAGGACTTAGCATAGTGCCTGGTATTCAGTAAGTGCTCAGGACATACTCATTGCGGGAAGGACTGATAGATACGGATCATGCACATACGGGAAGGTAAGGTAATCTGCTTCAAGTCACACATCTAACAAGTGACCTGAAGGAAAAGGCAGATGAATGCTACATAGCCAGCATTCAGGCAAACACACGGGCACACACCCACCCCTCAACCCCAAAAGTCCCCAAACTCCACTGTGGACCCTTTCTCAAGAGAATGGAATACATTATGATTAAAGTTATTAACTTACCAATGGGAGCAGAGGGACCAACTTTTGTAAATGCAGCACTTCATTTTTAACAAAGGACAATGCAAAGCTTTGACAGTTTCATCATGAAATGTTCTAAGTGGAAGTCAATCAAGAGAAAACTGTCCTCAAAAGTGCTCATGGAAATGCAACAGAGCAGCAGGCTTCAGGCCTCTCCGCTTTCTTTGGAGGAGAGGAGTAGAAAGCCTCTTAAAAAAACACTTTTTATTACATTACTAACTGAAGTCCATAGTTGATTCAGGTTTCCTGCGTTTTTACCAACATCTTTTCATTGTTCCGGGAGCCCACCCAGGTGCCACAAGGTTAGTCTCCACGTCCCCTTAGGCTCCTCTTGGCTGTGTTAGTTTCTAAGGCTTTCCTTGTCTTTGGTGACCTTGCCGGTTTTGAGAAGTACTGATCAGAATGTCTCTCCATTGAGATTTGCCTGATGTTTTCCTCGTGATTAGCTTAGGGTTATGGTTTTGGGGAGGAAGACCACAGGAGTAAAATACCATTCTCATCACATCATATCAAGGGGACAGCAACGTGACTTACTACTGTTGATGTTGGCCTTGATCACCTTTGCTGAGGTCACATCTGTCAGGTGTTTCTACTGTAAAGCTACTTTCCCCACCCCCACTGTCTCCCACCGTATTCTTTGCAGCAGAAGTAGGAATGCACAGCTCACATTTCAGGAATGGGAATTATGCTCCATCTCCTTGAGGGCCAAATATCTCCATGAATGATTTGGAATCCTTCTGCACAGGCTTTTTGCCTACCCACCCTCCCTGCTTTTCTTATTTATTCAATCTTTTACTTATATCAGCACAGACTCCTGTTTATTTATTTGATACTTTGCGTTGTTATTCAACAGCACTTTATTTGGTTGCTTAAATTGTCCTAGCTTTGGCCATTGGGAATCTTTAGTTAGCTCCCGTGTCCCTTCATTGTGTGTGCAGCCCTTCATTGTGTGTGCAGCCCTTCATTGTGTGTGCAGCCCTTCATTGTGTGTGCAGGTACGTTTTCTCTCTTTCCTCTTCCTCCCTCCTTCCTCCCTTTTCTTTCTTTCTGGAGCACATCCTTCCGTTCTGGAACTACAAGGTGCTCCAGGCTCATCTTGTATATTTTTGGCTCCAGTCCCAGAATTGGCCATTTTGCCAAAGAACCCTGGTTTCTTTTATTGGAGAATGATCTTAGAAACCAAAATCTGGGTGCCACATGTACTCATGGCTACTGGAATATTGATTCTAGATCCCCTCGGTTGACAGAGCAAGGGAAAATGTGTGTATATTAAGCCATGTATATATATTATATATGTATATGTAAATATTTCTATATGTCACCTTCTGTATCTATATACATGAAAACATGAGTTTTTAAGCTAAACATGAGTTCATACTATGTCTCCCAATCTAATCATAATATGTCTGTAACCTCCCACTCAAACAGAGGGAAATCGGGCTCCTACTATCCACCATCATTTACTTAATCCTTGAATTCCTGTACATAGGAATATATAGTGGTTTCAGAACTAACTTGTACCCCCATGAGAAACAACTATATCAACTAGAGCACAGTGCTTATGTGTAGTTACTTTTGCCTTGAGCTTTACAGACTCTAATCATTTTCAAAATTAATTAGGTCAACACTTTTACTCCTACCCTCTCCAGTGAGGTTGTTTCACACATTTATAAAATAGTCACATGCTTTGCTCACATTCTACATCCCATCCCGGGATTCCCCCAACCTCCTAAATGTTGGGTGAAAAATCTGCATACATTACAGTTCATTCTTTGTGCTGAAAAGTTCTACAGGTTTTGACAAATGCATAGTAGCACGTATTCCCCATTAGAGTATCATGTAGAATAGATTACTTTGAATAAAATTTCAGACATCCTGTCATTTCAGCAGTAAATATTTAGTATGTACCTCTAAAAGATAAAGACGCTTTTTAAAGAAAAGTACCACTACTACATTAAAAAACAACAACAATCTCTTAACATCCAGTCTGTTTAGATTTTTTCGATCGTCTCATAATTAAAAAAAATAGTAACGGTTTGTTTAAATTAGGATACAGAGAAATCCCAGTATTACCCTTCATATTCTTGAAGGTAATACTGTTCTTGAAGGTAATACTGTTCTTGACATCCTTAGTCTCTCCTTGATTTGAGTCCAACACCTCGCTAGGTTGGGGTGTGATTTGGCTGAAACACCTACTCAAAGTAGTGGATTTGTACTCATATCCCATTAGGTGCCATTCAACTTCCTCTGGTACCACTACCTTGACTTGATACCAATTCAGCTGGCTTTCTAGGTAATTGGACTCAAACACCTAGAGACTTTAGATGGCAAACTCCACAGTAGGTGAGACAATTAGAAATCTAAAACCCCCTCTCACATCAGACCCAGAAAGGGAGGTTCCCTATTACACCAAAACAACACTTGGGTGCCTATCAAGGGAGTGAGTTTTTATAACTGAACTTTCACAGAAACAGAACTTGAGAAAGTATTGGGGAACAGAGGGAATATATTTAGAGGCTGCCTTACTTTTATAGATCTTATTTTAAGTAATTTTGGTTTCAATCTACTTGATGATCTCTATACTAAAAACTTCATTGCTTGGCCCTGAACCATACTTGGTAAATGTGCAATAACATTATAATACCATCTGACAACTCCTTCATGGTGTTTTGGTCAAAGATCTCTGGGGGACGCTAATAACTGGGATCAGATTTGCAGCACAAAAGCCTATTGGCTGTCCCCTGTGAATTGGACAGAGATCTGCCATTGTCATAAACTAATGCTTGCCTTCAGGATCATCTGGGATCATCCACCTGACCTACAAAATTCCCTTAGATTATGTGATTCTAAGAATGAGAAAAACTGGATTTTGATCTGAGTTCAAAAACTTTCACCGCTCAAAAGGAATCTGGGGCTATTTTTCCCCATGCCTTTTCATTCCATTCTTTACAAAAGGCCCGAAGAATGAGAAAAATCATATGAACTTTGGCTCAGAGAATAGCAAGAGAGCTAGACACTGTCACTAAGGTGATGGAAAACCTCCTCCAGGAGGTTCATAAAATCAGACAGGTGGTGGTAGAGAATAGAACCCTCTAGATACCATAGAGGCTTCCGAAGGTAGAACATAGGTCATCTTAGAGGAGTGTTGCACCTGCATTCCTACAGACCTCTTTAGGATCTTAAACATTATTAAAAAGATCTGAGAAACAAACGTGGAAATCAGTAGAATAGGCAATTTAGCCCCTGTCTCTGGTTCTACAGGCTCTGCAGATTGGGGATGGCACTGCTTCTCTTGGCATAATTTTGAGTAAATTGCCTCTTGGTTTAGAAATGGACGACACGCCCTGATCATGATCTATTCTGCTAGTAGTTGTCTGTGTTGTTGTAATCAAATGTGTGACTTCCAGAGTCCAAACGCTAATGCATAGCCATTGTCCTATCAGATGAGCCGCAGTTTATCTGGCAACAGAAGGAATGAGAAGTTTCCTTTCATCTGACTATAGGCTATGTTCTCTGAACTGCCTTTAGATCAACCCAGATTATGGTGAAGATCTGGATTTCACAGAATAGTGTCCTATGGGGCTGATGCTGTCTGCTCTTGGCCAAAATGGGACTGAAAGAGAAAAACCTGACTGATACTTAAGAGTAAAAACCAGCTCAAATTGAGACAGAAAAAAGGACGCAGTCCTACCTTTAACCACGTTGGGAGGACAGACAGATAAGGCCAGCTGCAAAATAAACAGAAAACATTTTTTTTCCCTCAAGACTGTAAAATGTCATAATATCCCTCTCTTCAAGTGATTATTGATTCGAATCAATGACACCCCCAGACCTACCTTGCTATTTACATTTATCACCACGCGGAGAGCCCCTTGCTCAGCCACAAACAGCAATCAATTCTCAGTTAACCCCTGGTTCTCCGAATGCTGCCTGAGAAACAGCAATCAATCCAGAAATGGCCCTTTCCTGTACACCCTCCTTGGTATCCTGACAGAAGATGCTTCCCTCCTTTCTCTGGTCCTCTGGGAGTGCCCTCCCTCCCTCCCTGCAGTCAGGTCAGTACCTCGTGTCCCCACACCAAGTCCACGGCTGTGAGGTGGTGGCCACCATTACCCGAGGCAGGTGTTTGCTATCCTCGTTGCGGGCTGGTGGCAGTTCATGGGTTACCAGGGGCCAAATAAACACTTCATGCTGGGCACCTGGGTGGCTCAGTCGGTTAAGCGTCTGCCTTTGGCTCAGGTCATGATCCCAGGGTGCTGGGACCGAGTCCCACATGGGGGCTCCCTGCTCAGCGGGAAGCCTGCTTCCCCCTCTACCCCTCCCGCCTTCTCTCTCTCAAATAAATAAATACAATCTGGGGAGGGGAACCCCAAACCATTCCATGCTTACACTTTCTCCTTTCTATAATGTTTTGCTTTTTTTTTTTTTTTTTTTTTCTAGTTCCTGGCTGCCTCTTACACATTTATAGGCGCCCGCCTTTCTGCTCTCCAGATTCCTCATCCCCTTATCTGGTGCTTGGTACTTTTTTTCTTTCTTGGAGTAAGACATTCTGTTCCCTTTCACAGTTCCCCTAAAGTCCCCTGGACCTTTGCCTCATTCTATGACTTGTCTACCACAACGGTTCCTTGCATTTCTCTGGCTGCTGTGTCATTTCTCCACCTTTCTCTCCTTGACCTATGCGTTTCATTTAAACTGCCGGGCGGCCAGATACTTGCTTGCGGTTTGAAAACCTTGCTTTGGCTTTCTCCTTTCCTCACGTGTTTGTATTTTACAACATTTTAAAAACATTTTTCATCATTCTGTGCTTCCTTGAAAAGAGATCCCAATATCCTTCCCTTGTCCTTTTATTTTACTTGGCGTTTCTCCGTACCGCACAGTTGCTGAGGGCTTGGTACCGCGGACGCACCACCCGGCCTTGGAGGCCCCGCTTCCACTCTTAACCACAAGATCCGCAGCGAGGCGGCGTCTTCCGACGTGGACTTCCCAACCTGCAGTATCGCTTGCACATTCGGTTCCGGGCCGCGGAGTGGCACGCGCCCGCTTACAACACTTGGTTTCTCAGGACTCCCCCCCCCCCCCCAGCTAGCTAACCGTGGGAAGCCCGGCCTCGCCCGGCAGCCCTCCCCGCAGCGCCGAGCAGCTCCCCATCCCGGGGGGGCTTCCCGCAGGTGCCCGCACCTGCCGCCCCGCCGCCTGCAGCGCCTTCTGCAGCCCTCCCCGCCGCAGCGACCGCAGAGGCCAGGGCGCTCGCCTGTGTCGGCCTCTACCGGCCGAGACCGCTCTCTCACCCCTGCGGCCGACTCGCCCATCTTGGACCTTTAGAGCCCTGGCAGGACTGGAGGGGGACAGGCATGCTCATTAGATGGCGTCCCAACGTGAGGCACCTCCCCTTGCCCATTCTAGGTCTTCCTAGACTCCTTTCAGAAACTAGAAGTGGAAGGATCGAAGTCGTTACTATCCCCAAATTGTGCAAGAGGTGGCTATTCTATTGTACACTGCCTGGTTGGATTCTGCCCCTTTCTACCCGCCCGCAGAACACACCCACCAGGCCGGCCGTCTCAGCGCCAGGATGGGTCTGCAGGGCAGCTCCTCGCTGCCCACTTCCCCTTTTCAGGCTAAGATGCAGATGCTGGCTCTGTTACTCACATAGTGACCTAAGGCTTTGGCTTCAGAAAGCGGCTTTAGTGGATTTTCAGCAGAATCACTTTCCTAAAGATTCCTGTGAAATTCCCTTCCAGTGTCACTTTATGTAGAAGAAGTGTATATACATTATAAACTGCTTAGGAGAAAAAGGGAAGGGGAGTTGTCAATATTCTTACTTTTCACATTTCGTAACAGAATTTCCCCCCTACAATTTACTTCTCTAACCAACCTCTTAAACCTCAGAGCTCCTGTGCATTTAGTGTGGGGGGAATTGGTCATTCGCAGGAAGTTACAGCATATGGCTCACTCTCTCAAAACCCAGCAAGCCCCTTCATAGGGATGTGGGATGTGCCATTGTTGGTAATTGGCACCTCTCTTCCTCGCTGGCCAAAGGTCCTCCCTTGGGGGCCGGGGTGAGGTTAGTTCACTGCCTTGCGATCATTTGTGCTTGTGCAGTTCAGTGTGGCATCAGTGGGGCTCAGAATCAGCTTCTCTATCACGTGTGCTTTTTGTGAAAATATTTTGAAAAACATTATCCTTCATTAACTCCACAATAGTGGGGCCTGTGTTTAAATATTGGCCCCCACTTATGACACGGTAGTGCAGGTAAATATCTGCCATCTTGAGAGTCCCCCTACCTTGGGCTCTTCCCAGCCCCTTCCTCTGGGACATCTTCCCCTACCTCCTGTGTCCTGGCACAGTGTGAGGGCTCCAGACCTTGTGCCTCAGCAGAGGTCACCTCCTGACTGCTGTGGGAAGTTCTCCTTGTTCTATATTTCGGATCACACTGGAGTCTACACAATGGGCCCCCTTCCCCAAATAACCTATCGTGGTGAGGAGAACCCCCTCGGCGGTCTCTGTGCACAGGAAGTGGCCCTGTCTGTATCACATTAGAGTTTTCCTTGTAGAGGACCCATCTCTAGAATTTTCCATTCCCAGGCCACTTAAGAAGCATGGTCCCACCTGCTACTCAAGTGTCATAATGTTAATGTCCTTCTCCTCCGTTCTGCTTTATTTCATGTTCTACTGGTTTCTCCAGCTCTGTGCTCCAACATCTACTTTTCTTGGAGACTTGAGATTCCAACAATAAACCTCATAATCCTTCCTCACCTTTCCCTTATTAATGCTCCTTGGTTGTCTCCCCTCCCCTTCTGTCCAGGCTTAAGACAAAATTGAGTCATGGTCCTCTCATTTCCTCTCAACAGCTATCTTCTCCCACTCTTTCTTGCTGCCACTCTTGTTTATTGCTTACGGTTATGAAAATCATCTGTCCCATTCTCCAAACACCCACCCCAAGCTGAGATCTAACTTCTTTATTTTCTCCTGGAAGCTTTTCCAGAAATACTCCTATCCTTTGACGTATCTCCTCCCGCCCCCATTCTTCCCTTCATTCTTTCAGACAAATGAAAATAACTCAATTGTGCCTCTTCCCCTTTCTTTCGTTTGTCCTTCAAGCAAGCCTAGCTCTGCCCACCTCCTTCTAATTTTGTCACGCTCTTGGGCAATTTGCCTAACTGTATGCTAACCATAAACAGCTGATGTTGTTCATCTTCCACATTTATGCCTTGTCACTTACAGCTAGACCAGTGTTCCCAATGTCACCTTGCACTCAAGAGTTTTGAATCACACCTGGGTGTCTTCCACCTTCTCTCAATGGAACTATCTACCATGTGGTTAACCTCAAGTTCCCCTAGGACATAATTTGATTCCATACTAATCATCCCCAGCCTAGACCCCCAAACTTGGTCAGCACCTTTTATTAGGTTCACAAAGCCTCTTAAAGAAAATAATAAATTCTCCTATATCCACCTCCTGTTGCCACTGCCCTGAGCTCAAGTGTTGTGAGTAGCTGCTTGAAACATCACGTGATGCTAATTACCTCCATGAAGCGTTTGTCTCTCCAGCAAATCGTGTATCAGTAAAAACTGATCTCGCTGTTCCCACATTTTTTTCATCTTGTTTAGTGCAGTACTTGAATAATCATGAGACCCATATGCCATGCCACGTGACGGTACAATTGTGACATTACAAGAAAAAGTTGAATTGCTTGATATATCCACAGATTGAGATCTGTACCTGCAGTGGCCCACCCTTTCAAGATAAATGAATCCAGTGTAAGGACCATTGTAAAAAAAAGAAAGAAAGAAAGAAAATTCGTGAAGCTATGCTGCAGCTACACCTGCACGTTGCAAAAACCTTGCACTCTTTGCAAAATACCTTTTCATCTCATATTAAAAATGCAGCCTTTATATGGGTGTAGGATTGCTAAAAGAAAGGCATACACCTATGGACGCTAATATGATTCAAGACAAAGTGAAGCCATTATATGACAATTGAAAGCAAAAGGAAGGTGAAAGATCTCAAGCTGGAGAATTTAATGCCAACAAAGAATGGTCTGATAATTTTATTTTTTAAAGATTTTTATTTATTTATTTGAGAGAGAGAGAGCTATGAGATAGCATGAGAGAGTACGAGCAGGGAGGAGAGGGAGAAGCAGACTCCTCACTGAGCAGGGAGCCTGATGCAGGGCTCGATCCCAGGATCCTGGGATCATGACCTGAGCCGAAGGCAGACGCTAACCAACTGAGCCACCCAGGTGCCCTGGTCTGATAATTTTAGAAAGAGGTTTGGTTAAAAAATGTCAAGAGGAGAAGCAGCTTCTGCTGACCGAGAGGAAACAGACGAGATCCTAGATGCCAATAAGAAAATCACTGAGGACCATGAAAAGATGCTCAACATCACTAATCATCAGGGAAATGTAAATTAAAACCACAATAAGATATCACCTCACACCTGTCAGAATGCCTAGTGTCAAAAAGATGAGAAATAACAAATGTTGGTGAGAATGTGGAGAAGGAAACTTCGTGCACTATTGGTGGGAATGCTGGTGCAGCCACTGTGGAAAACGGTATGGAGGTTCCTCAAAAAGTTAAAAATAGAGCTACCATATGATCCAATAATTCCACCACTGGATATTTATCCAAAGAAAATAAAAACACTAACTCAAAAGGATACATGCATCCCTATGTTTATTGCAGCATTATTTACAATAGCCAAGATATGGAAGTAACCCAAGGGTTTACTGAGAGATGAGTGGATAAGGAGATGTGCCATATATAGAAATATACACACATAGTCATAGAAAATAGATCGGTCATAAAAAAGAATGAGATCTTGCCATTTCAACAACATGGATGGACCTAGAGCGTATTCTGCTAAGTGAAATAAGTCAGATAAAGACAAATGCCATATAATTTCACTTATATGTAGAACCTAAAAACCAAAACAAACAATCATTTAAAAAAGCAGAAACAGATCCGTAAATACAGAGAACAAACTGATGGATGCCAGAGGGGAGATGGGTGGGGGATGGGCAAAATGGGTGAAGGGGTGTGGGAGATACAGGCTTCCAGTTATGGAACAAATAAGTCATGGGGACGAAAGGCAGAGCATAGGGAATGCAGTCCATAATGTAGTAGCATTGTATGGGGACAGATGGTAGCTGTCCTTGCAGCGACCGTAGCATAATGTATGGGTTGTCGAATTACTATGTTGTGCACTAAAACTAACGTAACATTGTGTGTCAACTATAATTCAATTTAAAAAGAAAAAAAATCATTGAGGAGAAAGGATATCTACCTGAAAAAAATTTTTTCTTTCTTTTTTTTTTTAAGTGAGATCTATGCCCAATGTGGGGCTCAAACTCATGACCCCGAGATCAAAAAGTGCCATGACTGCCAGGTGCCCCTACCTGAAAAATTTTTATTTTATTTATTTATTTTTTTAAAGATTTTATTTATTTATTTGAGAGAGAGAGAACATGAGAGGGGGGAGGGTCAGAGGGAGAAGCAGACCCCCTGCTGAGCAGGGAGCCCGATGCGGGACTCAATCCCGGGACTCCAGGATCATGACCTGAGCCAAAGGCAGTTGCTTAACCAACTGAGCCACCCAGGTGCCCTACCTGAAAAATTTTTAATGCAGGTGTAAGTGTCCTATTCTGGAAAATAAAATGCCACAAAGGACATTTATTAGTAAAGAAGAGAAGTGAGAACCAGGATTTAAGGCAGGAAGGGATAGGCTAGCTTTACTGTTTTGTGCAAATGCAGTTGGGTTTATGATCGGGACTGCCCTTACTTATAAAGTTGCTAATGCCCTAGCCTGGAAGGGAAGAGATAAACACTAGCTGTCAGGCTTTTGGTTGTACAAGAAGGCCTGGACAATGAGAAGCCCTTTTCTAGATTTGTTCCATCCATGCTTTGTCCCTGAAGTCAGGAGTACCTTTCCAGTAAGGGACTGCCTTTTAAAGGTCTTTTGAGATTGGACAAATGCCCCAGGCCACCCAGACCCCATGGGGTTCAAAAGTGAAG